TATTATGAAAACTAATATGTTATTTCAGAAACAGAAGTTAATCTAGTTACTCTTAAACGTCACTTTGTGACAAAACGCTTCTACCAAAATTCTTATCAATCAACAAAAGAAAGGCAAAAATAATGGAATTACAACGAAACATGCAACATTTTTCTTTGGCCTTCAATAAATGGTTATAGTTTTCGAACAGTCTTATAGAAGCATTTTCGTTTCTCGAAAAATTTTGAAGCGTTAAAAACCTTTTACAGATAAATATTATATTTTATGTATTTTAAACTTGTATTTTAAGCATGTCTGAATATTGTAATATTTTATATATGAATATATATTAAACATATGAATATATGAATATATGAATATTTTTGTGAATATAAAAATAATGAGAAAACTACTTAAAAAAACATTTGTGAGCTTAAAAAAGCTTTGTGAATATAAAAATAATGAGAAAACTACTTAAAAAAACATTGATCTTCTTTCTGTAAAGACAGTTGAGTTGACACACAAAAATAAAAGTTTTAAAAACGGCAGAAAGTGTGACATCACAACAATTTTTTGATTTAAAATCATTCACAATATATATTTTTTTTTATGACCTTACGAACATGTGACCAACTAGGACTTTGTGTCCAGTTTTAAAAATGTATGAAACATAAAGACTTCAGTTTTCATCGCATTATTTACCAAAAAGCGCTATGCGCAAAAACATTTCCTTTCTAATTAATTTGAATTCCGAAATAATTTGAAGTAAACTTTTGAGATTCAAGAGGAATAATAAAAAAAAAAAAAAGCAAGAAAAATGTGTAAACCAAAAAAAGAACTGATAAAAAAAAATGTAAACCAAAAGAAGAACTGATAGAAAAAAGTGTAAACCAAATAGTATTAAAAATACAAATCATTGCAAATTTTTAATTCTGATCAATTTTATATTTTCCGTTGGCTACCCACAGTTCCACAGTTACCAAGAAGACAGTTCAAAAACATTTTCGTCAATATATCAAATATATTAAAACTTTTTTGTCGTTATAAGCCTTCAATTTCCCTGAATTAAAAGATGACAAATGATTACAAATCTTCTGTTTTGTTACTGATACAAAAGCTAATCTTAACAATCTTCCAAAAAAAAGTTCCAAAGACGAGGACGAGGCTGCACAATCACTTTTAGAAATTGTAGTATTTTTTAAAAATCAATTATTGATTCAAGATATAAACAACAAAAGTTTATTCATCAAAAAAAAAATATATAAAAAGCATAAAGCAAAAAATGTCATAAACATAAAGTCTTTTTTAGTTATATATCAAAAAATTTAGAAACTCCTTTGCTAATCATTTCACATTGTTAGAAAAAAAAATCATCGTTTTTGAAATTATCTTTTTTTTGAAAATACTTACAAAATAAACTTTTAAAAAGAACGTCCGAGAAGATTGATAAAGCACAATTTAAACTTTAGTTAAGAAATTTAAAATCTATTTTTAAAAAAATAATTTGATTTAAGATTTACAACTTTATAAACAGAATTATAAAACTTTGAAAAAATTAAGAAAATATTTCAGTTGATCATAAATAGAGATAATTTTTGAATTCTTAAAAGATCAAATTTTGTTCATATATTGCGCTGTCTTTTTGAGAGTTACAACCAACTTATACTGGTAGCATTACGACTCTTGACAATTTTCAGATCTATTTTGTAAATAAAAAATTTAGACTTTTGTAACTTCTTTAAAAGGTCTAAAAATTTTGTTTAAGTCTATGTAAAGTAAATATTTGTAAAATACTATGTAATATGTAAGAACAAAATTTAAGAACTTTAAATGTTATTGTATATCATAAAATATTCATTCATGGATGATAGCAAGATTTTAAAATAAAAATGGCTCTCGGCTTAAAATAAATAACATCCAGGTAAACATTTTTTTCAACGTCTGTTCTACATTGTACTTTTTCTCAAAATATTTTTTCTGGGGGCCTTTTTAGCCCCTTCCTTGGCAAGTGATAAAATCCGCACCTGGCTAAAACATACAAAAAGAAAAAAATTAAATTTTGCTAAGTTATGAAATCTCAGCAATTTTACTTCGGGTATATTGGGCTCTATGTAACATCAGCAGCAATAGAAATAGATGTTTTTTGAAAAGACTCTATTGCTAAAAAATTTAACTTTTTAGGATCAAATAACCCAAAAAATTGTCATAAAACTTATTTAACTCAGCTTATTCACCTGATCACCTGCTCAATTGAATCACCTGAAACACCTGATCAATTGAATCACCTGATCACCTGATCAACTGAATCACCTGAAACACCTAAATCCTAATCTCTAACTTGAATATTTATTTTTTTCAGAACAATCTATTTAAACAACTGTTTGACTTCTTCATTTGTCTTTTAACTTCTCCATTTTCTCTATTTGCCATTAGTTTTAATTTAGGGCACTTAAACTAACTATTTTTAACAGGTTTTTTAATCAATATTCTTGTTTGAAAGGTTTTTTCAACCACTAACCATGTTTAAAATTTTTTTTTATTTAAAACTAGATCTCTTGTGAATTCTTACAAACAACAGTACACACTTCACATGGTCATCTTTGAGAGTAAACTGCATGTTCAGTAGCCAAATTCATAATTTTTTTTTCGACAACCAATTTTTATGGGGAGTTCCTTATGAGTAGTGTAGAGGTCATATTTATATTTAAAAAAATATATATTTTTTATGTTTTCTTGAGAGAAGTATTCGCGCCAATTGTTTGAAGTTACGCTTTTTATGATTTTTGAGCAAATTTAAAGCAATTTCCAAGCATTGGCGCTTATAGACTCTTATAGACATTTTGGTATCAAATGATGTTTTTTATTAAAAATACTGGTACTGGAGCCTTGGATTACACAAATCTAAATCCAAAATGGTTTGAACCACATTGACTTTGAACCACAGATCAGTGAAGGATACAGCATTTTTTGGTGTTTGAGATATGGCGCAAACTCCAAACATTTGCTTGTTTATACTTATGTCAAATAATGATGCTTTGTAAAATATTGCGATAATTGGAGTCTGAGAATAAAATAAGCCCAAAAATTTCATCATCTTCCCCCCCCCCCCCACACACACACACGCTCACTGCCCCAAACGTGAGAGTAACAAGTTAGTAAAAAATTTTTTTGCTATTCTTAACTAAATTTATATTCATTGATAAATTTTAAGTTTCATAGTATTATATCTTAGAATTCAAAAATTATGACCGTATAATGTTTTACCTCCCTCAATTTAAGGGTGTTTCAAATTTTATATGGTCATAAATTATAAACGCTTAGAAATTGTAAAGCAACACTTAAAATTTATCGATGAATATAAATTTAGTTAAGAATAGCAAAAAAATATTTTATTAACCTGTTGCTCTCATGTTTAGAGCTGGGGGATGAAATTTTAGGGTTCTTTTGTCTTTTCCTTAAATCATTGCAATTTTTTAAAAATCATCATTATTTGAAGTAAGTAAAAACACAATTGTTTTGATTTTTATTTTTTAAAACAATTCATTTTTAAAAACAAGAAATATATTTCGTTTTTTGAGACATAAATTTCTTAAACTATGGTCAATAGATTTACGATTTTGCTATGAGTTCTGATAAGTTGTAAGCAACTTTGAAAGATTTTAAAAGTTTAGTAATTCATTGTATCCAAAAAGTCTATGGGAGTCTCCTCCGAAGTCTCGTTCCGAACTATGACCTAGAACATTAAAAATTAACCAGTAGTCTCGTGAAATATATAACTCAAGACCTAGTGGCTGGACTTTATCAACAAAAACTGCTTATAGAAGGATATCAGCTCTTATTCTATCCCTTTTTACATCTTTTTGGACCTCCCTTTGTTTTTGAATACAACACTTTCTACCATTTCTTTATTGTGATCTCGGTCAAAAGATACTAACGCCAGCACTAAACACCTCAATGGTTTTACAATTTTTTAAATTAAAAATGGTGAAATGTAGATAAAATAAGGTTTAAAACAACGCTGCGAAAAACTTATTATATTTAATTTTGACAAGACAAAATCAAAGTGCTATTTCTATAAATTTAATTTTTAAATTTTGTTTATATTCATTATATTTCTACTAAATTTAAGAAAAGTCTCTTATTGGAAAAAAACTTTGATTTGTATTATATATCAAAATTTATGAAACTAAGTTTTACTTTAAAAACTGCAGAATCAGAACAGTTGCAGGTAAAAACCGCGATGCCCTGGAGATAAAAATGTAGTCAGCCATTCTATTGATCTCTTTGAGTACTTTATTATTCAGAACAAAAACCTGATTTTAGAGAAAACCACTTTGAATTTCATGAAATTCAAGGCATATGAAACATCTGCATATTTGTTAATTTTCACCTAATGGTATGTTTTTTTTCCGAAAGTTCTCAATTATCTTTGCAAAGGTCTAAATGTAAATTATTTTAAAATTATGAATTTATACATTTTGTTTTTGCAAAAAGGTATTTTAAAGTTAAGTAATTTTAACTTACTATTTTTTGACTTTTTATGGTTTTATGATATAAATAGTTTATTCTCCGGCTTAACAGTTTTATTTACAGCAACGGCTATATGACGCTCTCCGACATGATGGCAGGAGGTTAACAAGAATATTAGTCGGCTAGGAAACTTGACTAATCTTGTACAAACCCTCTTTAAATAGCAAGGGCTTAAAGAGGGTGAACTGTATGAGATTAAAAGGATCTAACAAATTTCTAATTGCTGTGTATTGGGCCTTAACGCTATCGCGTTTAAAAACCACGTTTTTTAATTTCATAACGAATGTGTGCGTTTTTAAAATAGCACCAGTTAACAAAAATAATAGTAATAATGATGCACACAATTGATATAAATTAAAAAATCTTCTATTATTAGTCATGAAGTTATTATAAAGTTAATAATTTGCAAATTTAAAAAATGTAAAACTTTAAAACAGAGGCGCAAGTATAAATAGTCATCTAAAAAAAAATTTTCATTAAGAAAATAATACCTTGGGAATATCTTATGACACTCCGCTCGTTCATGAGGATCAAAATGGAAAGGGCCAATGTCCAATCCATTTACAATCCAAAATGATTGTTTTATTCATTATTTTTAGTTTTGAGAAACTTTTTAGACTCCATTTTAACTTTCCAACTCTTGACTCTTATAATAATTTTTTTTTTGTCTTTTTATTCAAGTTTAAATCATCTCCATGCAACAACAAAGGATAAAGTTTTTTTTTGTTGTTTTTTTTGTTTTTTTGACAGAATTATTTAGAGTAATTATATTCTAATATGGATATTGACGTAGTTGTAATGTAATATTAACTTATTGCTAAATTAATCAAGTTATGAAATACGCGAAGGTTTAAAAGTAAAGTTGTTGCAAATTTTTTTATGAACTTAATTTGATGATTGTGTTAAGATTGGGAGCCCTAACTGCCAAAACCCAAAACAGAAATCTTTTTTTTTTTCTAAATTTTTTGATATACAAAACAAAAGTTTCAAATTTTGTTTTTGATAAAATAAATTTCAATATATTTTCATGAATCTCCAACTAAAAAATTTCTCATAAATATTTTTATTATAACTTTTTTACAACTTTATTTTTCATTATTGAATGTTTTTTTTTACCTGTTTTTTCTTCTTTTTTGTTGTCTTTTTCATTTTTGTCTTCTTTTTGATTGGTATTTTCCTTTTTTTCGTCTTTGTCGCTACTTTTTTCTTTTTTCTCTTCATTTTCGTTACTTTTCACTTTATTTTCTTCTTTCTCGTTATTTTTTTCTTTATTTTTTTCATTATCGTTATTTTTTTCTTTATTTTCTTCTTTTTCTTTATTTTTTTCTTTGTTTTCTTCTTTCTCGTTATTTTTTTCTTTATTTTCTTCTTTCTCGTTATTTTTTTCTTTTCCTTCATTCTTTTTTTTTTCTTCTTCTTTGTCTTCTTTTTTCCCCTTATCTTCCTTCTCAGGTTCATCGTGAACGAGAGGGGCATTTACAACAAATGGAAGTGGTGGAAGCATAAAGGGATAACCAAGAGAAGAACCATGATGTAAGTATTCATTTCCATTGCAATTATTCCAGCAATGGTAACAACTGCCATCAATCGAAGAAAACGGAGCGTGGTTAACCAGATCTGGCAATAAAGGAAACACGGTTCCTATTTTATCGCCGTGCTCATTAAAACCATCAGTTAAGTCAAGTATGTTATTGTTGTGCAGCATATGGTGTGGATCATTTGGATCATAAATATGGTTGAAACCTCCATAATGATTTTCAAAGTTATGTGTTTGAGGATATTCCCCAAAACTACTTGATCCGTAAGGTAATAAGTTATAGCCTCCATAATGATTAGTATCATCTACACAATGACCAATATGATAGTTGCTACTAGAGAAATGAGGAAAATGAGGAAAATGATGAAAATGATGAAAATGGTGACCATTGTACGTATGATGTGGAGTATAAACATCGTTTGGGTAGTAGGCTAAGTTTGAACCATGTTCCACAGGAATCATAGGATAGTTATTAAAGTCATTATATCCTACTGAAGCATATTCAGAACGTTTCATAGGTTCGTACGGTGTAATTTTATTACTCAGTGTTTTACCTTCTGAACTCTTAATCTTTTTAAAAGTACCTTTCAAAACTCTTGTAGGCATAGAATATGTATGATGAAGTATTAAAAAGATTACCACAGTGATTAGATTGTACTTGAGACACATTTTCCTATAATACATTATGAATATTTTTTTATTTAGATTAAAAAGATTTTTTTAATAATTTTTTTACATTAACAATACTCAAATAAAACCACAATAATATATATATATATATATATATATATATATATATATATATATATATATATATATATATATATTATATATATATATATATATATATATAATATATATATATATATATATATATATAATTTTAAATGGGATCAAAAAACCCTAAAGTCTAAGCCCCCTACCTACCCTTTACTAAAGAATAACCCCTCCCTCAATTTGAAGGGGTCACAAACTTGACTTAGTCATAAAAACTGAACACTGAATAATTTAAACACAAAGTTTGAAATCTGTGAATGAATACATAACTAGTTTATATTTATGAAAAAATAAATAATTCAACTCATTGCTCTCACGTTTAAGGAAACACAAAATATTGAAGAGACAAAAGAAAAATGAAAAAAACGTAATCACAAAACCAGACAGAGGGAATGGTATAATTGTTTTTAACAAGATTGACTATATTACATCTTTAACTAATATTATAAGTGATAAAACTAAATTTAAGGAGTTAAAAGACAATCCAACTATTAAAAGAGAACAATCTTTACAATGGTATCTTAGGAAACTTAAAAAACGTAATGGTTTTGAAAATGGCGTTTACAATAAAATTTATTCTGCTGGTTCACAAACAGCAAGAACTTATACTCTACCTAAGATGCACAAACTCAGTAAAGATTCTACTCTACCACCTTTTAGACCAATTATTTCAACAATTAGGATATATAGTTATAAACTTGCCAAACATCTTTCTGATTTATTGTTTACTTAAATAGCTAAATTTTATTCCACCTGTGACTCTTTTTCTTTTGTTGAGGATTTAAAACAAGTTGATATAATTAACAAATATATAGTTTCCTATGATGTTGAAATCTTATTTACTAATATTCTACTTAATGTTTCTACATTAGTTTATCGCAAAAAAACATACTCGGGTCTTTTACAAAAAATTTCCAGTTTTGTTCTCTATTGTTATAAAAATAGTTTTATACGTTGTTTGATTGATAAAACATATAAAATCAACAATACATGGCTAGGATTTGATAAGGACATATTAAATCTAACTAATGCTTTTAAAAAATAACCAATATCCAATAGGACATTTGCGTAAAAAAATTTGTTTGATAACGAGGTGGATTGTTTAGTTTTGATTAGAGAAGGCGCTTTTTTTTCTCGCGGTTGTTTTAGAACTATCATTTTAGGCGCAGACTTGTTTCTTTCTTTTGCTCAGAACTTTTAGTCAACTTTGTTATTTAAGCGTACAGTCAAGTAACCCTAGATAAATTTAGATCAAATTTGTGTCTTTACCTTTTTTGTCAATTTATTATGGAGTTAAACCTACTTTTTAGAAAGTCCTATATACAATAAGCTTGTGGCCCTAGATACAATATAAAAAAGCTACTTGTACCTAGGGCCACTAATTTTTAAACTCTTCTACATGCCAGACTTTTATATTTTAAGTCAATAAACTTATATATTACAAATTAATTATTATTGAGATGTGATTATATCCGTTTCACCATTTTTAAGTCTGAGGCTGCGATAAATAGGCATTGAAAAATCCGTTCCTAGGTATCCGAACTTTCCCTGTATTACTATTATGGTATCTGAGTTTTTCAAAACGTAAAGCTGAAAAAAACTTTTTAAAGTTTTTAATTTAATGAAATTTTTAAATAAATAAATAATATATATAAATATATATATGTAAATATATTTTTTTTAAAAAATTTACTTACATAAGCACGTTTTTAAATTCAAAATTGTTTTACAAAAGTTGAATTCAATTTAAAGCTTGAAACCTTCAACAAACTAATTTTTTTTTTTTTTTACAACAAGATTAGTTTTTAGTAGACTTGAAATTAGGCTAGAATATTTAATTTGATAAAATATTGTGATAAAAATGCTAAACATGTGTTAAATAGCTTTCGTTTCCAGAAATAGTTTCGATCTTATAAAAACAGAAAAAAGTGAGTAAAAGATGTTTCGACATTTAAAAATTCTTTCAAAAACTAGTTCAAGGATCCAAGAACTCTGAAAATTTACGCACTTATGAATGATAAAATCAAATTTTATCTAAAACAATACAAGGTTATTTTTTAATTACCTGAAACAATTAACTTGAAACTAAAAAAGAAACTCTTTATTAACTCATTTGAGAATCCGTTCTGCCTGTGGCGTACCAACGGGGTGGGGGGGTGGGGACTCACCGCCCCGGGTGTCATCCACTTTTGGGTGACACCTAATTTATTAATATCTTATATTTTATTTTGGCTTATAATTTAACAGTCTTACATAAAAAAATAAGTGGGTATTTATTTACACGACCTACGAAATGCTGAATGCTCAAAGATATAGTTATCATTATTTAGAAAATATAATCGCTTAGCTTTCTTCTTATAATATAAACAAAATGAAATAAAGACTTAATGTTGTCTAAAAAAATTCTTCATAATCAAAACATACTCAAATTTTGTTTGGGTTTGGATTACTTTAAGTGGGTGCGATTTTAACCGTTTTTCACTTTATCAGCTTTCTTAGTCCTATTCGTATATTTTTTCAATGTTAGTACTGCATCACATTGCAGAATATCAAAATTATCTAATGCGAACTAAAACATTCGAAAACATATTCTTTGTTTATGATAACAATTTTAAAAATTTGCCATATTACATATTACTGAAAATTTTATAAAATTTGTGCATAAATTATAGTGACTTTGTATTAGATACATTTTGAAACAGTATCGTATATTATTAATTGTTTTAATTTTTCGTTTTTAATGCCTTATAAATACCATTTAATTTAAAATGTTTTTAGTGCTTAAATTGTAAGTTTTAAAATTTTGTTTTAATATTTAGTTTAAAGTTTTAAATATTTTGTATAACAATGCCGCGTGGGGTGCATAAAATGAAGAGATTAAGTGGACATCAACAAAGAAAATTAAAGGAAGCTAAACTTAAATCCATTAAAAAATATGCAGGGTCAATACTTCAATACATAGATAACCCAAATGACGGTCAATGTTCTTCAAAAGATAGTACTTTGATACAAACTCCATTAGTACTAGAAGAAAGTGAAAATGAAGCTTCTAGTAATAGCACCTTCACTGTTGACATGGAAAAAAACGACCAATAAAATGAAGCTGAATCTCCACAAGTATTAGAAATCACCGATTTAGAAAAACATGATGGAAAAACTAACTTTAAAATTTTTTCTGACGTCTCTTTTTGGAAATTACCGCTTCAAGACCATCTTCGAATTGAGATTATTAAAAAGGGAAGTTCTACATTTTAAAACAAAGATGGACCATTTAATGTAGTACAACGAAATGTCACTCAAATGAAAGGCCATGATTGTCACCTTTCCTCTGAATGGTTTTATAAACAAATAAAAAATAGTGAAAAAATTTTACGTTCATGGA